CGTATTTTAAACTCTTTTCCTTTTCGTGATTATCTAATCACGACAGATTCTATCTGATTCGGAGGAATGTACTGATTATGATCTGGACGAAAACATAGCTCAAGATGCATCCGATGCAAGTGCTACTAATTCATGCACTCAGCACTCAAAAAATGCTGAATAAATGTGGTTTCTGCATTCGGCGCCAGAAAACAGAACGGATGGTCTATCCTTCCGTCAAGCAGTGATAGGAAATGAGAGATCGAGTGTTTTGCTTGAAATTTTCGCCGATAAATTGGCTATGGATTTTCTAATTAAATTTGGAATATTGGTTTCATTTCACTTGGTATTGCTCCGTCTTTTTTCCTTCCTATCGTCCAGTCGTGAATAAGTTGAGAAAACAAAATCGTTTTTCACATTTCACCCTGCAGTAATAACCTGAAACATGCAAATTTCATCATACATTGTCCTGTTTGCTCTTCTATCATGCTTACAATTTTTTCTTGACATTTTCATTGTTGCTTTCTTGTTTGGAACTCATTTTGCATTTCTATGTGAACGACGATAATGAAATTATGTTTNNAAATCATGAAAATGAACAAAATCACAGAATTTCTGGTCTGTGTCTCCAATTTTCACTATGTTAAAGAAGAATGAAACTTGATGCCAGGCTTCTCAGGGCCGCTCTTCGTGCGAGGGTTAATAATGACATTGTATAATCAAAAAAAAATCGCGCAAGAATGAAAATGCAATTTTCTGATGCAGTTTTATACATACTTTAAACCAGTATGCGCTGTTCTTCTTTTGCAAATGATTTTTTCGTTTCCTATGAAGATCGTCAGATTTTTAGCTGTCTCTCTGTCCAGCAGTTGCAATAGCCCACGATTACCTCGCTTCCTGGGCGAACCGAAAATGAGTTCCGTTCTCCCACAATGCCTACATGTTACCATGGTACCATCGTTCGAGGCAAACAAACAATGTCCACTCCACCGATAGATATCTCTAGCCAACAAGTCACGTTTGCGTCTGTCTATTAAACAGATTGTTCATTTCTGTTTCGTCTACTGCTCTTTTCAGTACATCCATCTATCTGTCCCACTTTCTCTACCACTGTCCTCATTATTCGCAACTACTTGACACTGAACATGCTTTATGAACGTTCAATGATGTGGAAGAACGAGCGTACAAATTTATATTACTCGCTCATTCAATTGGGTTCCGCAGAGGATCTGACAATGAGAAAATCTGTTTCCGCAATCGCATTGTTTGTATCGGAGTGCAGCGCACTCTTCAGCTTATGTGAGACTGAAATGACTACTTTTTCAGACGAGAGAAAGTTCATTCGCACTTTCAACTTGCAAAAGTGCAGCAGACAACGATGGTCTCACATCGTACGAGAAAACGCTATTCTCACAACCTACAAAAATACCGCAGATAATGATACTCTCACATTGTTCTGATTCATCTTTAAAACGGTTAAAACGATGAGTAAAGTAACAATCACTGACCATAAGAGTAACAAAAATAAAAGTAGCAATAAATGAAATTCTTGAAAACTAAAATTGCTACAAAGTTTTTTGTGTTGTACAGTTTAGTTGCCTTTATGTTCGTGTTATTTGACATCGCCAACATTAATGACAGGAATCCTTTGAATTATTCTATTAGCATTTGCTAAAGGTTGCTCATTTAATATTGTTTCAAGAGGAAATTGTTTCGAAGGTAAGCTGAATAATCCTCGCGATTCCATTGTTTTCACGAACTAAAGATCAAATTCTCGTTTTACATCCAACAAATATGTCTACGTAATATTTGTTAATGATGCATTCGAATGAAACTTTGCCATAGTCGTAAGTTGCCATTATCAATATGAAAAAATAAACCATAAACGTTCTTCTTGAAATCGAACTTATAAGATCAATGAGAGCAGAAATTTCATTTGAGATCTTATTCAGTATATTGACCATTGCATGCATCAGCTACCATTTGTCCATCTTTTAATTGAACTTGCGTCAAAACAACCGAAGATATCTGACGCATTACGCATAATATAAGGGCTATCGATGGGAATGCAA